ATCTGCGTCGATGACAAGCCGCTGAATGTATACATTCGGCGCGAGCTTCATCAGCTCCCAATGGTAGACGAGATGCTGGCTCAACTGCAGGGCGCAACAGTATTCTCGAAACTGGACGCCAACAGTGGGTTTTGGCAGATCCCAATCAGCGAAGCGAGTCAGCTGCTTACAACGTTCATCACGTCGTTTGGGCGAGTTGCATTTACAGAGCTTCCATTCGGTATCGCGTCTGCTCCTGAAGTCTTCTAGCGGCGCATGAGCGAGGTTCTGCAAGGCGTACCAGGAGTAAGTTAGCCAGCATGATTGATGATGCCCTAGTCGGTGGCACGAACCAGTCAGAGCATGCATGACCAGCACCTCCGCTCAGCCTTGCAGAGGATATCAGATGCGGGCATGACGCTAAACCCGCGCAAATGCCAGCTTGCCTCTGCGTCGCTCTCGTTCCTAGGTGTTCGGATCGAGAACGGCATGATCACGCCCGGCCCAGCAAAGGTATCCGATCTTGCCAACTTATCAGCACCCACGTGTATCTCGTCGCTGCGGAGATTTCTGGGTATGGTCAACCAGCTTGGCAAGTTCTCACCTCGAGTCGCCGAGCTCACACAGTCGCTACGAGTGCTACTCTCCAAGAAGTCGGTATGGGTCTGGGACTCTCCCCAGCAAAGCGCTTTCCGTGACATAGTAGCTGAGCTGTCTCAAGCACCAGCATTGCTGCCGTACAGTCCCGGCTACGGCACGAAAGTCTCGGCGGATGCCTCAGCATAATTATGGCATTGACAACCTCAACCTTAACGTACAGAAAACGGTATATCTAACTGCTTCCCGCACTGATGAGTCGTGGGAGATGGTCAAGCTCCTTGGTTCCTTGCTAGACTCCACAGAGGATGTAGCAGCCAGGATCAGTGCAGCAAACCGAGCATTTGGCTCTATGGCATGGAAGTGACATTGCCTAGGCTCACAGCTTTGCAAGTTCTCAGTTTTCACTGTTCCAGTGCTTCTGTATAACTGCGGCCTGTGGACCCTCACGAAACGTCTTAATGAACAGCTGGATGAATGGCAGAGAAGAAAGCTCCACTATATCTTCGGAGTCCACTACCCACATTGCGTGTCCAACCAAATCCTGTATGAAAAATCAAAACAGCAACCAATCAGCAGGGTCTGCAGGAGAAGAGGTATCCTATGGTCCGGCCATGTTGTTCGGGAAGGTCCGGACTCGGTTTCCTATGGCGCGCTAACCATGGCCATCGACATGTCACAGATCAAGCGTCCACGAGGACGACCAAGGCTTCGGTGGATTGATGTGGTGAAATCCGACATCTCCCCTCTCGGACGCACGCTCGTGGATTGCCTCAACACTACACGGGACAAACAGCTATGGCTGGACTTCGTTGACAAATGTACATCGGTATTAAAAAAATGGCATGTACTTGTCATGTAGCGGGGGGGGGGGGGTAATGAATTGTGAAGCTCACTACACAAAGTACACATACACCTCTCACCGTAGTGGTGGCTTAAGACAGGCCTAACAGTACAGCTCAAAGCACGTATCACCCCCCCCCCCCCCCCCCACACACACACACACAGACTGATCGACCTCACCTGTACAGTTCTAGGAAGAGTTGAATTGTCACGTCCACTGCTATGCTGCTGAGCAGGTTGAGCAGCCCGATCAGATGATGCGACGGCGGCGGCGGTGGCATTGTGGCTACTAGTACTATGCCGTCCATCGCCGTTCACTTGAACATGCGGCCTTGACCAGTAGTGAACAAAACCATCCTGTGAGGAGATGATGATGCAATCGCTACGAAACACTATTGACGAGAGGCGTTCGGGTGATATTCGCTTGCACATCAAGGCTGGCATGACGGGAATGTCATCCATACTATAGACCGGTGGCTGCTCGACAGGCTCATCAAGATTACCTCCGGCAGCTTTCAGACCTCCGCCAGCTCGGTTACGATTCTTGTGGCCCCTTCGCACTATGTGACTGGCACGTTTCCACATGGACTGGGAGCCGCCACCGCTGCTGCTGCCGCCACCACCACCAGCACCACCACCTCCACCGCTGCTATTGGGTACGAGCGACGCCGGAGCTGGTGGTACGGGAGTGCTGGCTGTGCTGCTACTCGGAATAGGACGACCAAGGGATGAGCCAGGACGGCCACTAGACACACTACCACCGCCACTGGTGTCATTTCTAGCAGCAGCAGCTGACAAAGAGTCAGAGTCTGCACCGGTCTGGCCATCGCCGGTAGCGGCTTGGTCGCCGGCATCACGCTGAGACGCCGTGCCGCCGACAGCTGCAGAGGTGCTCTCACCCTGGCTACTGGCAGAGGCCAGGCGTGGATGCGTGTGTGGCGAAGTCGACACACAGCGCTGCGTCGGCTGGCAAGCAAGAGGCACGCTGCTAGAATCGGAACCTAGTATGTCACCGCCAAGGTCCCAGAGTGTGAGCCGGCCATCCTGACCGACAGAGCCAAAGCGATAGAAGATGTTGCTGTCACCATTACTCAACTTGCCCGTGCTGGTACACACCTCGGCATTGTCCAGCTCTGGCACCATTGTCGATGCAGCAGTACTACCAGCCGTAGTGGTCTGAAGCTTAAGGGCTGCGCTACTGGTATCAGCAGAAACAGAGGCACTGCTGGAAGGTGCCGCTCCTTCAGCACTGGCCGAGTTGACATCAGCACAGGAAGATGAAGGCGAAGCAGCTGTCTCATTGGCACTCGGCTTGGCTGTTGTCGTGCTGATTGCGTCTGTCGAATTGGCCACGGAACTTACACCACTCACACAGCTACGACTATCCACAGCAAGGCTATTTGCATCAGTGTGCGTCTGTTGTCCCTCTTCACCAGCCTCACCAGTCACGCTAACCTCCGGCACACATCTATTCGGTGGAGAGAGACAGTCTGGTGACGTGTTGTACGGATCAAATGCCACCGCCGCTACATACGAGCAATGCGCTCGTCCACGGGCCACAAGTCGCCGCTGGTGGAATGAGTAGACGGCAACTAGGTCGTCTTCGCTTCCAGTGACAATGTAGCGGCCGTCGGGACTCCAGCACACGCACGTCATGCCGCCAAAGTAGCTCCGCATGCTACACACCAGCCGCTGCCGCTCAAAGTCAAATACTCTCATGTGCCCATCCTGGGACGCAACAGCAAAGTGTTTGCAGTCAGGCGAAAAGGCAAGGTCGTTTATCGAATGTCCATCGGGAGGAGAAGAGCCCGCCGATGTGTAGGAGGCAGTCGACGAGTTGCTATGGCGCCTCAGAGTGTCACCATCTGTATGCAGACACAACACAACACAATGCAATGCAATCAGCACAATGTTGGTGGTATTGCATTGGAATAGCGCACCTTTCTGGGTGAAAGCTGCATTTTATGACCTTATCTAATTGGCTTGAAAGCTGCGGGGTACACCCGAACACACATTCAGTTCACTCAAACGTCTCTTATCCGGACGCCTCAGATACAGGCACGTCTCTCTACCGGACACCTTTAGCTTGAGTTGCTATGGCAAAAGTACTTCGATTTTGGGGGGGGGGGGGGGGGGTGAACTTTTTTCCGTATGCGCAAGTGCTTATTTGTCATTGCCAACCTGTGTGACCCACACATTTTCATCATTGGATTCTTTTTATCCGGAACATGTGCACTACGTGCCACATAAACTTCATCAAAAACTGGTAGATGATCTGTCCTGAGATACGGGCAGTGCCTGGTGCCAAAGTACCCGGATAAGAGACGTTCGAGTGTACAAACAAATGACAGCTTCAATGCCACATGCTTCCAAGTGAAGAGGCAGCTTAAATATTGGTGCGGCCGATATTCCGAAAAAAATTCCAGCAAGTACAGTGAATCTGTTCCATGATTGGCTACAAAGAGCACAGTCATGTAGGATGCCGAGAGCATTGAATCGGATGGTGAGCACATGCCCTACACCATGCAAACACCATTTTGAGTGCACATGAAAATGCAGACCGCATCCAGGACTAAAAAGAAGAAGACGAACTTTGGCAAATGTGTGTAAACGTAAACAACCAAGCACATACACACACACACACACACACACACACACACACACACACACACACACACACACACATACACACACACATACACACACGCACACACATGCACACATACACACACACACTTGCACACACCACACGCACACACATGCACACATACACACACACACTTGCACACACCACACGCACACACATGCACACACACACACACACACACACACACACACACACACACACACACACACACACACACACACACACACACACACACACACACACACACACACACACACACACATATATATACACACACACACACACACACACACACACGCGTACACACACACACGCGTACACACACACACGTACACACACACGCACACACACACACACACACATATACACACACGCACACGCACACACACACACACACGCGCGCATGCATGCACACACACACATGCACGCACACACACATACGCACACACACACACACACACACACGCACGCACACACAACACACGCACGCACACGCACACACAACACACACACGCACACACGCACACACAACACACACACACACACACGCACAACACACACACGCACATACACACACAACACACACGCACACACACGTACGCACACACACACACACACACAGGCGGACTGCCGATTCCTACCTCTCTGGCCAATGCCACTGGTGTGGCCCACTGTCCAGCGCTGAACAGGGTTCTTGCCTTTGGACTTGTTGCTCGATACCGAGTACGTCTGACCCTGGTAAACTAGTGAGTAATGTGGGTGTGAACTATTCGGCAGGTCTCGATTGTACAGGTACAGGCAACCACTGAAGTGACCTGCTAGAAGCAAGTTCTCTGTTCCCGGAACCCACTTTACTACTGACACTGTGGTCCTGTCGGCCTGTTGCTGTAAGCACAGGAAAGGAAGGCAAGGTGCAAGTTGGTCGCCATGAGAGCACGACCCAGTAACTGAGCACTTGCACAGGTTTCACAGCATTCTACATTCTCTACATCTCATTCTACAGTTGTGGCAAGCGAAATCCAACACTTGCCATGGGGGACAGCAGCACAAATGGACATCAATGATGTAATGCACTGTACCTAATGTGTACATCAGAGCCGTACTGTAAACCGTGAAATTATTGCGATGGTCTAATTTCTGCGAAATTCGCGACCGCGTGGAAATTGCGAAATTTAGACAGCGCGAAAAGGTCCTTGCTTAGCCTTCTTTGGCTGAAAATCTCTGCTTTAAAAATTTGAAATTCTTCAATCGCAAAATTAAAACCTCGCAAACCTGTCCGGATTCTGAAAACGCGAACTAAAAACGCCGCGAAAATTTCACGCTTTACAGTATGCATCCCAAACAGGTCGAAAGGTCACAGAGTAGACACACACAGTTCACAGTCATGGTACACATAAGGAAAGTAGGTATCCAGTCCCCATTAGTTTCTGCGAGCACCTTTGAACCTTTCAGGTGAACCTTGACTGTAATGATGAGCATGAGTACAGTTGAAAATCGATTATGCGACCACCTCTCCGGGCAGCCGGCCCTGGGAAGGTGTTCGGGTAATTAAAATGTTCCGGATAATGAAAATCTCGCCACAGGCCGATACCTGTGTACTCTATGTACTCTATGTACTCTTGCAGCAAGTTGCTGTGTTCGGTATTTCACAGTACCCACGACAATAGTCGTTCGACGTTTTCATGTTAGTTTTTAGAAGTTTTGTAAGTAACAGTTTGTTTTTGACTGTACAGCCTGTACACTGTCACACAGTGGTGCAGGCAGCGAGTGAAACTAACTTTTCGTGCAAGCTCCCGTACGAAAATGCGCAGCTTGAGCCACGTGCGGTTAGGAAATCCATTCCGGATAATCGAATTTGTCGGATAATCAATGTCCAACTGTACTGTCAGGAGCTAGAGAGACGGACAAAAGTTGTATGTAACACGCGTACTACGTATGCAGGGATGCAGCGGCTGCACATTGCATGGTGTAGTCCCTTATGCCAAGTGTCGGGTTTCGCTTGCCACAACTGTACATTATCTACATCTCATTCTACATTCTCTACATCTCAACAGGGTGGGAATGTTCACCTCTACTCTAGTACTGTTGTTTCATCGCTCAGGCCCAACACTGTAATGCCAACCATGCAGCACCAGGTCTTCCTGTTACGACGCAACAGTTTGATACTGCAAACACGTTGACGACTAGAGATTCCTCAGCCAGCTGCTTTTCACATGCTAGCTGTGTGTGGGGCAAACTGCAGGAAATATACTGGTGGACTTGCCAGCCATCTCCACATAATGTGGATTGACTAATTTCGTTGTATTCATTTGTTTGCCCTAGTATTTCCAGGGGCTGGATCGCCATTTTGGAGGTGAGTAGTGGTTTGTTCGATGCTGAGTGCACTCGAAATTGGCTAAAACAAACTTGATTTTCTATTATTCGAGGTGTACCCTAAATTTCAGTGTAAAAACAGCACCTCGAAATGCACACATGTCTGGTATGGCATTTAACTCTTTTGCTTATCGCAGGGCCATGAACATTTTAAATATGCAAACGCAGAAAGTGAATTCGAGCCTGTTCTTGTTTGGGTACGCCGTCCCCTCTACAAATTGATGACTGTAGTAAAGGATTTACGAGTAACAGTGCGCCTGAAGACGTTGATGAAAAACACTTTCAATTTGGCCTTGTGTGGCACCAGCATTCTGGAGTTACTTGCACATGGGGGTCATGTACTGTGCTTGACTGTGGGGTGTACATTATGGTACATGGTACATTACTTACAGCATCATTGAAGTGCAGCTGTGGCTGATTCTTGAATGGATCAAGACACAACACTACGCCACTTGTAAACCCCACAGCAAGGTCCACGCTGTAGGAGTTTCGAGTTAGCAGGTTGAAATCATGAGAGAGCGGTGCACATCCCTTCCAGGTTCGCCGAAAGGTAGGTCGCTGGAGGTCTGGCCTCTAGTTTTCAGCATCGTAAAATACAAAAATGCACAATATGATGGAAATGGAAATAATAATTGACTCCTATACTACATGTGGGATCCAAAGTCTCCACCACTGACATCCCGGGTTGCTACTTCAAATTCTCACCTCAGTGGAAATTCCTGTGTAGCGATGCAGGAGGAGTTGGCTCTCAACATTGAATGTTACAAATGTCTCGGGACCAGTTTTCTTTGAATTTATCGTCACAAAAGACAGGTTCACTGGCCAATTGTTCAACGTTACGAACGGGTGACCGTCAGGGCGGCACAAGTCCAAACCCCTTTCGAGGCAATACTGTCCCTCTTTGGTATAGAACGTAGACTTTACTTCGTCTTCTTCAGATGCCATGGTCCAGACGTTGGCTTGAGCCCAATAATGTGCCACAGTTCATTTTTCGAAAACACTCAGGTGCAAAACGCGTTTGGGACTTTCTTGACACAGTCAGTTGGGAGTTGAGTGTGATGCCTTGACCACTGTTGAAGGTAGCATGCAGCATATGCGCATGAATCATGCTGGTGACGAGTGATGTCTGATGACTGGCCGCAAGTGAAGTCGTATAGTGTAGACCGGTAAGTAGACTACGACTGTAGCAACTGTGTCCTGCTAGCTATTGGCATTGCTGGAATGCATTGCACGCTGGGCATAGGGAGAGGGGGGTTTGGGGGTAAAAATAGGAGCTGCTACAAGCCCGGATCTTTTCTGCAATCTTTTGTTTCTAGTGTGGAGCGCTTGGGTCGCAACGAAGCCGAGACCCTATGGTCGGTAAAGCTGCCCCTGCCTCTCCCCTAGTCCTACTCCTGCCAGCCCATATGTCTCATCGCTGCTTTGTCAGGCGTACCCCCCCCCCCCCCCCCCGGGCGTGTAGTCGGAAGGGTTTGGGAGGGGTTTCCAGATGGGGTTGGGGGTGTCCCCCAGCGGGGGTCACGGGGCGGAGCCCCAGTTGGGGATGAGCGGGGGCAGAGCCCCCACAACCTGAAAGCTTTAGGGTATATTCAAATTCCAAGCTACTGAGAGGCCCAATCTGGAACTTTACACTACAAGTTACTACTGAAGTAATAGAGAGGTTCTGCAAAACGAAAAGAATCTTTGATGGGGATCATGAGTAGTTTGATCAAGGAATTGGCTGCCATGAAAGAAGCTGTTGTTGACAATAATTCCCTGAGAATCGAAGTGGCGGCACTCAGGGAGGAAGTTCAGAAATTGCGTACGAGTACATGTACCCCAACAGGCCAGTCCACGTCCTCCACGGCCACATCAGTGTTCAACCCACGCACATCTGACTCAGGGCCTGCTACACGCAACTCGTATTCAAATGTTTGCAGCTCAGGGGTTACAACTGACACAAGTACACCACGCGAACCAACATGTGCTCCCGTACCGGTCGAACCTGAGTGGGACTGAGAATGTTGAACGGAGAAAACCGCGAAACCCTGCACGCACGCTGGCAAATAGGACTACCACTGCCAGCCGTGACGTAGCACACAAGCCAGGCCAGTCCACTGTCACCTCGTATTATCAGCACAAACCTAAAGCTCCTGCAAGTTTCCGTGGAGCCCCTCGGATAAAATGCCGCGCAATTCACCTTGGCAATGTCCACATGGGATGTAGTGCTGATTCCATAGTAGGTTGGTGCGAGAAAAAAGACCTGTCAGTCATGAAGTGCAGTGTGTCAGAATCCCGGTACTTCGGACTGGCGTACGCACATGTCGTGATCCCAGCAGATCAAATCGACAAAGCCCTGCAAGAAGACTTCTGGCCAGCGGAGGTGCGTGCATGAGAGTGGAGATTCGCCTTAGATAAGATAGCTTCAGCTTCAGCCACATCATGAATGCCGACACCCCGCTAAACCCTAATGCAATCCCATTCCATCCTAGACCACACACCCCTAATTTAGCCACTTTATCGAACAGCAACAACGGCCTTAGTCTTAATCTTAGAGTAGGGTTCCTCAAGGTGTGCCACCTTCTTAAAAGCATGAAGTTGAGGATTTCATACTATCTCAAAACATTGACATCATGATACTGGCGGAAACCTTTCTATCTAGCTCTACCGCAGACAGCTTGCTCAGCATACCTAACCATGCACTTTTCCGGAGGGATCGTCCCAGTCACTGTGGAGGTGGCCTAGCAGCCTATGTCCACAATCGCTTTCAAGCACGAGTGGTGGGTGACCACACCAACATAGAACTTTTGCTACTGGAGATCAGAAGTCATCGAAACCGGATTCTCCTAGGAGGAGTGTATCGACCTCCAGGTACGCCAGTACAGTTTTGGCAGGACTTGTCCAACGCAGTTGACACAGCAGCGGTGTCAATGCCATCGTCCCCGCTGATTTTAACGGGCGACTTCAATGTCGACGTAAGCCGGCGCCAAGCCCCTCAGCTCGACAATTTACATCGCTTCTGCGACCAGTTCAATATCAGCAACAAGGTGCAGGACACTACCCGCATTGCCCCCCCCCCACGGCAGCAGAACAACACTGGATCTCGCCCTAGCTGTGGATGGAGCGATAACCTCCTGCAAGGTTCTCCCTTGTACCATCAGCGACCACTTTGCGGTCGTAATTTACCTACCTTTCAAATGCACTGTGGAACCTCCTGCTGTCAAGTGCGGTCGTAACCTAGCAAGGATCGATATGAACCGATTCGCTCATGACTTGCATCATTGTGACCTGGAGAATTTTTCAACCGCTCAGACTGTGGATGCCATGTGGTATTCTTGGACTGACAAAATTGTTACCATTTTGGACGAGCACGCTCCTGTCCGAACGTATCGGCCTAAATCTTCCTCCCGCACGCCCTGTCCTTGGAAACTACCTGCCCTCCACGACGCTATTCTACTTCGCAATGCAGCACATCGTCGCTGGCGAGCCTCGCCGACTGACATGGATCTGCGAACTGTATTCACATCAGCACGAGCCGAGGCTAAGCGAATGTCCCAACGCCTCAGGGCCCAGTACTACAAGAATCTTCTCACACGGAGTCAGGCAAATGCACGCCTCACTTGGAAGACAATAAACGAGCTCAGCGGCCGGACCAAAACTTCCACTCCACCCTCTGTCAGTATAGCAGCACTCAGCGAGCAATTCAGTGGAGTAGTCTCCGATCCAAGCACACCTATGCAGCTATCCCTACCTTGTGGTCCGTCACCACGGGATCCTTTGCGGGAATTCCAGGCCACTAGTGTTGAGGAGGTATTCACCTTCCTCGTGAGACTCGATGCTCGTAAAGCTGAGGGCAGCGACAGTATTCCGGCATTCGTCCTGAAGCATTGTGCAGCAGCCCTCGCCCCGTCGCTATCCATGTTAATTAATGCATCCCTTTCGTCTGGCATTGTGCCCGTCTCCCTGAAGATTGCAAATGTTCGACCCCTATTTAAGTCTGGTGACAAGAACGCATCTCGCAATTACCGTCCCATATCTTTGCTGCCAATAGCATCGAAGATCTTGGAGAAGATAGTCCACAAACGCCTGTGTGACTTCTTACAAACCCATTCACTTTTGCCCGCCAATCAGTTTGCGTACCGGCCACAACACTCCACGGAAGATGCCTTGACCATGGCCATGGACTGCTATCTGTCGTCAGCAGACCACCAGCTACATACTGGCGCAGTACTAGTGGACATGAGCAAGGCATTCGATAAAGTACGGCACGAGCTCATGATCCAAGATTTGTTTGCTTTGGGTGTATCTTCGACTGCATTGCGTTGGTTTGCGAGCTACTTCACGGACCGTCGACAGAGAGTAGTTCTGGCGAGTGGGCAGTGCTCGGGCCTAACTGCATGCGAGTGTGGAGTCCCTCAGGGTAGTGTACTGGGTCCTTTGCTGTTTTCACTATATACCATGGACGTCCATAGCGTCACCAGCCTAGCACACTCCCAGCTGTTTGCGGATGCCAGGGGTATGGTTCATGTTCTGAGGTTAAATTGACTTCGAAACTGCCATGTTTCGGAGCTACCCTTTCACTAATGCAGATTTGTTGGCATTATGAAGGCATAGTTTGTGGAAACAGAGTAATGTTTGCACAGAATTATGACTCTATTTGCTAAAGATTATAATCGATTACTCGATCGTTAAGCTAAAGAGTAATCGATACGTGAAAATCCACGATCGTTTCAGCCCTAGAAATTTCCCACGAAAGTTCATTTCGTGTTCCCTACAAGTTTCGCATCCAAAGTTGTGAAAGTTCGTGTGAAGTTTCTCACTTCATGACGTAGAGCGAAACGGTTTGTACGCATTTTTTGTTTGTTTGAAGTTCTATTTTACATCGCAAACCAAACGGGCATTGATGCCCAATATTATGATGGCGATAGAATAAAAAGTGTGGCTCGATAAAGCCGCACTTGAGAAAATAGGAAGTATTTGTACCGGTAATTACAAGTCAAGTTCGAACGAAGTAACAATCAGAGAGAAATAGGAAGATGAGGACCTATGCCAGAGGGGGTGCTGTTCGGCCATATTACCGTAGAAAAACACTTTCAGCAATCTTTTAAACGGGGTTGGACGACGAGTGGACGTGAGTTCCTGTGGCAGGGTGTTCCAAAGCTTCACGGCGGAAACCAATGGTCGGCTGTCGCCAGATGTTCGCCGAGTTAGCGGAACAACGCATTTGCAATTGTCATTGCCACGGGTGTTACTGGGAGGTTGGAGGGCTACTCTATCTTCCAGAAGAGGGCTGATGCTGCTGGTGTGGACACGGTGCATAAGGAAACGGAGTTTGCATTTGGCACGTTCAATTACAGGGGTCAGGGAAAGGCGAGTGTATATAGGAGTGGTATGGGACGGGAAGAGCAGATTGGCTACGCAGCAAACACATCGCTTGTCGAGGACAGTGAGCTGGTGCCGCTGCTGAGTCGTGAGTGCAGAGAAGAACGCGTTTGATCCATAAAGCATGTCAGTAAGTATAAGGGCAGAATAGAAGAGGAGTGACTGGCGTTCAGATAGCGACGGGCGGATGGTTCTCAGGGTGGTTAGCTTTTGGGAAGTTTTACGTACTATGCTGGAGACCTGCGCGTCCCACCGAAGACAGGAATCGATCTGTAGGCCCAGAAAGCGAGCAGTGGTGGTCTGGGTGAGAGGCGTCCCGTTGCAGTTAACGTTGAGTTCCAGGGTAGGCACGTGCAAAGTAACGAAAATGTGCAGAACACAAACTTCGTTCGAATTTTCGTTTTGCAGAACCTCTCTATTGTCAATGTGCCGTGGTTCATTCACATCTAAGAAATGTGTATTAAAAAACGGAGCATGAAAGAGAACCGTGACCGCAGTTGTTCAGCTCAGTAGTTAGTGCGCATGAAGCAACCTCGGAGGGGGTTTCCGGGCAACCTGGAAACACTGCCGGCTATGCACCTGTTTGTGCTATCAAATGGTGTGTGGTGGTTTGTAAAAAAAAAAGAAAGAAAAAAGTACAAGCTATTGCTTGCCCTTGGCGTGTAATTGGCGGATAATAGAGAGTTCACATTTCACTTTT